GGGGGGGGGGGGGGGGGGGGGGGGGGGGGGGGGGGGGGGGGGGGGCGTGCACCACCCGCGGCAAGGCCAGCCGTGGTTTTTAACCTCGGCGAAGGTTGAGCCTTGGCGACCCGTGATTTTTTTTTGGTGTTCCAAGGATAGAGCATAGTCGGCTATTAGTCGAAAGCGTAAATTAAGGATGCGCTTCTGTTTTTTTTTCAGCCACTCGATTGTATCGGGGTTCGGGTGTTTCGTTTTTTGGTGTTGTGTTTTGACGACAGCAGGGTTTCCCTCACCAACCTTGAGCATGCACACGCCTTTTCTACATCGCCCGTAGCGGCCTTCTCTTTCCGCTTCTTCTCCACCTCGGTAGACACGCGCTCTTCGTTGTTTTCGTGTCATGCGGGCACCGCGGACAACGTAACCTATTACCCGCAACTTTTCCAACAACAGCAAACCATGGGTCGGCCAGGTGCGCATGTGAGACGTGCGTGGACAGCAGTCTCGCACACACGCGCGCAAGGTGGACTTTCTGTTAATTGTCTCGCAGAAACCTTTGGGTGGCGTTTTTCAGCACGAAACGGGGCCGCTCTGAGATAGGAAATGGTTCGCCCTTTCAACCCGTTTTGTGCAAGCCGAACTTAACATGGTGGGTGCAAGACTCGTCTCTAAAATACTGTTTGCACGAGATTGACAATATCTAGTGAGTTATCATGAAGGTGACATGACAGAGCCACAGTGGCTCCTCCTTGACAGGCGAATGTTCTTGAGTTTTATGCGGTGCCCACGAGCCCACCGTAATATTGTTGTGGGTACACAAAAGTTTGAGCGAGCTGCGCATTGTCCTCTGCGCCAGCAACACCATTGTGGTTCCTCGGGCTTGGTTTATCTCGCGTATGTTTTGAGCGAGCAAACACATCGAGGTGTGTTTACTTGTGGTCACCGTGTGGTGATAAATCAGTCATCGTTTCGTACACAAATTGGACCAGTGTCGCCGGGTACTGGGAGGGTTTCAGCCACTCCCGTTGAATTGAAGAGAGCGAAAGCCAACAGGTGTTTAGTGGGGATTGATCGAAACATGGTGACGGGCCAAACCTCGCCAACAAGTGGTCTGGGTGTAAGCACGCTTTGTGCGCGATTCCGTCGAGTAAATTAAGAAAAACAAGCATTCCGCATGTAACAAGAATCCCCAACTTTACACATCCCCGAGGGAGTCCACAATTTTAAACACCCATGATTGCTCCTCTCTTTGTCACAAACTGGCGAAATACAGACAGGGTTGGGTTTTGCCGTGCGCTCCTTGACCAACCACTTTCAAATCCGATATGTACACGCGGAACCCCCACATTGGATGTCTTTTCCGAAATCGCTGGTGTCTATAAAATAGTCCCCAACATAAAGAAACATAAAAAAAAAAAAAAATGGGTTAGAACGACCCGCACAAAAAATTACAAAAAAAACACCTGGGTAGTTTACAATGACGCCGCCACCTCCGCACATGCCGTGTTGATTCCCACCGTGTGCTGTACTGTACCGGGGGGGGCAGGGGGGGGGCGTCGACTACAAACTGTTCGGGTACGGGCAGTAGTATCTCTCTTCCGGTATCATTTCCTCCTGGCCAAACTGAACACCGGCGGCCACCTTACCACGTTAAAAGTATCCCCCCCGCTGCTCTCCGTCGATGAACGAAAAAAACTATTGAGCAGACACAGTCGAAAGCCTTGTGCCGGTCTACAACATGAGTACATCCGAAGCGAGCCGCAAAAACTAGTTGTGATACATCTCCAAAACTCGATCTCCTTGTTGAGGCGAACTTGCGTGCTATAACGAAGAAGAGTTCATGCGGCGAACAAATCATCCAATCAACCGTCTTACCGTCGAGCGCTCGATCGTTGCTCACTGTCTCCGCGGACGTGAGAGGTGCCAAAAAATAGCCAAACAAGCCAAACCAAAGCTAGCTCCGAATGCTATCATTCGCTGCTGCTATTCATCAGTGTATTTCTCCGGCTAAAACTATGAAAAAAACACTTCGGAAGTACTTCCGAAGCCAACTTTACACCAAAGGTAAGCTCCGAATACTACAACACGATGCTGCTTCACCAGTAGTGTTCGAGGGCTACAAGTTTGAAAATCAAGCAACAGAAACCGAACGGTAGCTCCGAATACTATGCACATACAGTAGTACGCTGCTTCCCCATCAGTGTATTCTAAGGTTACGAGCATTGTGCAAAAAAAACAATCAAAGGGCTGCCGCTCCTGATGCCGCCTCCTCCGGCGTCGAGCTTTCGACGGGACTGCATACGTCGAGGCACTCTAGCATGTTGTGACGTCCCATTTTCTCGATCTGCTTGGGGTACATGCCGATGCGCGACAGATCCGCCAGGGTCTCGAAGGGGGCAGCCGCCCTGGAAGTCAAAACCGTGGCACCACACACGCAGACAAATGAAGTGAATGTTATTGGTCAGCGGGCGATGTTAACATCAAAACCACATACACACACAACACACGTGCCGTGAAAAGTTTGTAGATATTTCACTCGGGAGTATGTGTGGTACTGTAGGACGAGGCACGGGATCATAGCCCCCCCCGGTTTGCGACAAAACCGTCGTGTTGAAGCGTTTTTCTTGCAACTCAAGTAGTGCACTCTGATTGGCTCACACCGCCGAAATGGTGCTTTCCTCATGAAGGCCTGCCGAACAGGCACTTTTTATCTGGTCGGATAAGTCAGATGGTCAGTCCTACGAGGTTGGGTTTGGCAGGGGTCGCTAGCTCAGGCTCAAAGCGTGCCTGCAAGCAGTATCATCAGAAGCGTTACATCACAGTTATCTGTTGCAAATGGAGGGTCCTGCATTGCGATGGGTCGGGGGGCACACGAAGGGGAGGTAAATGGATGTATCCCACGTGGTTCATAGTGCATGCCTGACACGTGCATCACGGAGCTCATGTCGCACCACACGTGTCAGCAGGAAACGTACCGAGCAATTTGACTAGGCTGCTGTGTCAAAAGAGGGGGGCTTGTTCGCTTCCGCAACGACGGCCGTGAACCATCGTAGCCGAACTGGAATAGTACATGCCTACGTCGTACACGAAAGCTTGGCCACAACTCCGCTATCGAGGCACACACTCCGCTACGATGCCGACGCTTACATACCTCGTCTGCAGAATGAGCTGCGCTCTCCGGGGCCCAATCCCGTGCAGGTCGGTGAGCTCCGCACTGCTCGCCTGCCGTTTGGTACAAGGACGGTTATTGTTACTTCACATTAAAAACCGTTCCGGTCTTCTCTTAGTACCTTTTATGAGGACAATCTAGGTTGGTTCAAGTGACGCGGACGCCTTCCTTGGTTACAGGCCAACGATCCAAAAAACGGTCCAATGAAAAAAATCAAAGCGAGAGCGGTTTTCCCACAATCGGAGCCCCTAGCGTTGCTCACGACTAACGCAAGGCCGAGTCTCCCTGTCCTTCCCGTTGTTGCTGCTCCTGCTGCTGCTATTCCTTCGTACGGCCTCGTCGGTATGCTTACCTGGTTTACGATGTTTACGACCTGCTTCTCCAGCTTGCCGCTCAGCCCCCTGTTCATCGCACGTAGGCGCTCCTGCGACGGAGTTGAGAAACCAATCACACAGAGAGTAACGCCACAGCAAAATATGACACAAGTGCACGTCTCTTCACGTTGGCTGACAGTTTCCAGACCACCCGCCGCATTAACCGCATGCCTCACGCTGGAGCTACCGTTAGCGCCGGCACTTGAGAAATTGAGCACCCAAAAACCTAAAAAATGCAAGAATTTGAGAACCATTTGTGAGCCTGATTAAGAACCCCTCCACTAAGACCTATATGGCTGTCATTTCTAGCATTACTCTGGGAAACAAAGAACCCCAGTCTCGTCCAGAACTAGATATTGTTAAGACGTAATCACCCCCCTGCTCCGTGTGGCACCGTATCGACCTCACCGGGTGTCTCTCTTGCATTGGCCGATGGCATGCATGCGACACGTGTTCAGGGGTTGCTGTCGGGGCCCGGAAAAGCTGGAGTCTAAATGAAGGAAACGAAGTAGAGGACAACCACCTGTTGCGGGCACCTTCGGCACGACTGTGTGACTGGCCGAACCACAACTAAAAAGGGCCACCAGCACCACAAACACGGGTCTTTCTCACAGTCCCCTACCCCCACACCCCAGGCAGCACTACTAGCGATTTCTCCCACCGGACCAACACTCTGTCCCGCAAGATAAAGAGGACTACATTCGTGGTCCCGATACCGTACTGCGGTAAACTGTAGTGGCAGACAAAGGTCGCCGCGGTATATCGGGACAACGCACTACCGAGCGTTGGGGAATATGTAGCTTGTAGCACGGTAGCCAAATTCTGTGACAAGCGATTTTTACCGCGGTGTATCGGGGCCACCACTGCAATCGAAACAACACTCACGGCAGTGCAAACAACCACAAATCGCCAAGCTCACCACAAACCACGGGTCTCTCTTATAACAGCCCCCACCACCTACCTGTGCGTCCATGCATTCCCCGTCAAACTCTCTCTCCACCTCCTCCTCCTCCTCCTCCTCCTCCTCCTCCTCCTCTGGCCCGGCCTCCCCCGCCGCTGGACTGGTCTCTTCACTCAAGGAAAGCCCCCAGGCGTGGTCGTCATCGCCGGCGGTTTCTCGAGGGCGTGAGGGCGACCGATAGGGTTCTGAGGCGGCGGTGGCGAGCACGCTTGATGCCGACATTTTGTCCCCGAGGCGGGCCATGTCGAGGCCGACATCCTGTTCATCATCGCCGCCGTGTTGTTGTTGTTAGTAAATAGTGCTGTATTGTGATGGTGTTGGTAACAGCGTTGATGTGCTTGTGGTTGTGTTTGTGGTTCGTGTTGATGTTGGTGATGCGTTGTACCATGGGTGTTTTGACGTTGACGGGGAGCGGTGTGATGCCGTTTCAGCGTTGCTGCGATACCTCGAATCTTATCTTATAACCATCGGTGAAGTTGCGCTTGTCGTGGTTCTCGTTGTCTTCGTCGGCTTCTATTCCACAGCTGCCTCCGACCACGGCACCAAATATCAAAGCAAACCGCGTCCAGTACATGATGCTTCAGGACGTAGCCGAAGCATCCGTCTTAGTATCCTCTCGATGAAAAGAAGCGAAAAACGCCGCCACGTACGTAGCTTACACGCACAACTCTCCCGTTAGGCAAACGATGGCGCCTAGAAACCATGCCACACATATCTATACGAAGAGCGACGAACAAAATCCACACCACACGTCGTTCATAGACAGCACAGCGGTCAAGGTGACCTTCTCCTGACAACCTCAGCTAACTTCACGAAAGCTCCATTGTATACGCAACCTCCTGTTGACGTCACACCAGATGTCCGCAAGATTTGTGAACTACGCGGTCTACAAGAAAATGATGAAACAGGGAAATGAAAAAATCAATGGACAAAAAGACATCTACGCCTGGCGCCACCAGTCACATCATGCCGTATTCACGTTGACATCAGCCATCACCTGGATATTCGGCGACGCGGAACACCTACCCGTACCGGACATGTACGTCATGGCATCGCGGGATCCCGTGAAAGCGCGAGCTAGCGGCGACGATCGCCGGGAGCTGAGTGAAAAAATGGCGGCATAAAAACAAACCAAAGCGAAGCACATGCAACATTGAGGGAGACATGTTATTGCCAGGTTATGTGTCGGGAGCCACGCTGTGAGTTTCGTGCGAAGGAGACACCACGCAGAAATTAAGTACACGTTCATAGCACGAAAGACGTCCAATAGCAACGAACCTACTTTTTAAAGCTCGATTGCTCTACAACTAGAGGGGGGGGGGGCGGAGGGGGAACTCATAGTCGTGCATGCCGTAGTCGTTAGACCATTGACCTCGCATCCCTACAAAGCCGGGACGGAGCACGCCGGGTTCTCACCGGACCAGGCTCTCA